TTACCCCAAGTTTTTAGAAACTTCAAGGCATCGCGTACTCATTATATCACATCAATTCTGACACTTCACACATCGTCATCACATCATGCTAAATCTACCTCTAGCAACAACACAAAAGTCTAAATTAAAACAATAAAAACATAGCCCACACTAACAACAAGAGGGAAACCTCAATAGCCGCGACACTTGAAATTCTTTTAGGCAAGATTAGAGTAAATTAATCTATGAGACCTTTTTATTATCTATATTTGTATGCGCCAGCAATACCAAGCGTGGGGCGCGCGTATACCCGATTGGATTTTATTACTCATCATGATCTCTACACGCCTACCTTCAAACCGAAATCCTTTTAGGCAGGATTAGGGTAAACTAATCCATGAGACCTTGGGGGTGATCAAATATATTAATCGAAAGGGTTTGACCTCCTGAGCCCAAAGCTGTTAATATATTTCAAATCCGTCAAGAGATGACGGAGCTATGAGCTAAAACTTTCTACTTGAATAATAATAATAACAAAAGAGCCATTCTATGAGCCGCTATGCTGTGGCTAAAAATGGCGGTAAAATTATTTTATTCGATCAGAGTACCGCGAGAGTTGAAGGTGGGTGTGTTGATTACTTAAAGGAACAGCGAGTGCAAATAGTGCTTGCGAAGCTTTGAGCTAATAATTGAAACAAAAATACAAATATATGGATTATTAATATATAATGCTATAACACAACAAAAACGCTACTCCATTTGATGAGCCCCCCAGTGGCACAGCGGTATGTCTGCGGACTTACAACGCTAGAAACCGGGTTTCGATACCCGTGGTGGGCAGAGCACAGATAGCCCATTGTGTAGCTTTGTGCATAAATTCAAACAAGCAAACAAACCATTTGATGAAAAGAAAACAATTTAAATAAAATTACTGATAGAAATAATCGACCATATTTTAGTTCTACTGGTTAAATAAAATTAACATAATAAATTAGATAAATTAACATAATAAATTAAATAAATTATATGATAAATTAGATAAATTAACATAATAAATTAAATAAATTAACATAATAAATTAAATAAATTAACATAATAAATTAAATAAATAACATAATAAGTTAGATAAATTAACAGCTCAAACATATTACTACGCGCTCCTCCGATTTTTGAAATGGTGCCAAAGAGAAAGCTAAATCTGTCGTGCTCCCGCGCGTGACTTTCGTAATAACTTAGAAGTATTTAGAAAACGCCCCTTCCCCCTCGAACTTCGACATAAAAAAGCTCATTATAAATATAGAATAAATCGAACCCAATTCAGTGTTTACCGCATGCATGCTCGTGCGTCTGGGCAAATGTAAAATGAATGCGGTGATACAAACATAACCGATTTATTTATATAAATAGCCAAAAGTTCAAACGTGCGTTACTAAAGTGTTGATAACGATAGAAAACAAAGTATGAAGTAATATCAATTTGAGGTCATCACACGATATCAGAGGAGCCGCTCTCTGAGTGAATATGCATTGATCCTGGGATTTTACCGTGGCTGCTTCCCGAATTTTTCACCTCTCCACCGTATAATGCCCCATGAATACGGTTGAAGTATGGTTGGAAGATTAGGAGAAACCTTACAGAAAAACTTGGAGCCAAAGGGCACATTTCGACGGAAGCCATGATTGTTCTCCAAGAGAGCGGTAAAAATTCGCACAATAGAATTCTTCGGACTGTAGCAGGCTCCAAAAACACATTCCAAGCCATCCAGCGCAACAGTGTAAAAAGTTGCGGTTGCAAAAGAGAATCCGCCGACTCAGAGAGCCACTTCAATGAAGCTGGTCACATCTCCTAGTACGGTTAACAAAATAATAAAAAAAAATTTTAAGTTGACCGAAAGCTTTCAGCAACACCTCCAAATCAACAGTTGTTTTGACAAGAAAGATGGCTAACGAAACTTCAATTCCATTTGACTACTCACCTGTCAAGCTCCACGAGACACCTCCAATGGACTTTTGACCCTGTGTTTGCTTTAAACGTGATGTTGGAAGACGACGTTCCCGTAACAATGGAAGGTTTGTGGAGAAAATTTGTCGAAATGTATGATCTAAAAAGATCTTACCGTTTTTAGAATGGGAATTGCAGTGATGGACAATATTGGGCAATCATGACCACCAAAATGAAGACAATCAACGATGGAATAAGTAGTTTTGAGTGTAGCACGGGATTTGAAACAGTGTTCTTATAGAGTGCGTTTAACTTCAGTATTCCAGAATCCACATTTTCAAACAGTTTTATAGAAGCCGAAATTTTACCATCCGCCAACTGTAATGTAAAGTTTTTTTTCTTTACGGAAACAGAGTTGTTAATTTGACCAAGTTTCATGACAATGGAATTTATTTTCCGGTGCTGTAATAAAACCAGAAAAAGTAAACATTAATTTTTTTTTGAAGTTTTGAAATGACAAGAAACGCTGTGGGTATATTTCCGCCAAGGTTCAGCAGCAAGATTCAACTTGTTTGCTTGTTTATTGAATTTTGCACAAAGCTACTCGAGGACTACTTTTGCTAACCATCCTTAATTCAAGATGGAAGACAGTTAGTAAATTCGGGAGCTACTCTAATTGCATAGTGGGGTTTGACAGTCACTTTCATAACACGCTTTACATACAAACAAACAAAACAAGTACACAGTGGCTCCGCAGAAAGACTGATATCTCGTAACGTTAAAATTCTGAATTCGATTCTCGTGGCGGATATAACATAGACATCCCAGTATGAATTTTTTGTGCTAAAACAAGAAACAGTCAATCATATATAATCATGTTACAATTAAAAGTGACCTATGTGTTTTAAATAAATAAAAAATACAGAATTTTTCATTTCTTTTATCTCAAAATTATACACCAGTTTAAATATCAAAACAAAAATTGCTAATACAATACGTGTTGCGGTGCACACAACTCTAAAAACTTTAACTTGGTAATCACTTTACTTGCGGCCTGGCATCACCAGGTGGTTAGAGCTCTCGACTCGCAATCTAAGGGTCGTGGGTTCGAACTCCCGTCCCACCAAACATGCTCGCCCTTTCAGCCGTGGGAGCGATATAATTGACGGTCAATCCCACTATCCGTTGGTAAAAATAGTAGCGCAAGAGTTGGCGATAGATGGTGATCACTGGCTGCCTTCCCTCTAGCCTTTCACTGCTAAATTAGGGACGGTTAGCGCAGATAGCCATCGTGTAGCTTTGCGCAAAATTCAAAACAAACAAACAAACCCACAGCGGTATGTCTGCGGACTTACAACGCTAGAAACCGTGCTTCGATACCCGTGATGAGAAGAGCACAGATAGCCCATTGTTTAGCTTTGTGCTTAACTACAAACAAACTCTACTTATATAGCCTTTTTTATTAATTGCGCTATCTTAAGATACCATATATAATCATTTATTAATTTGATAAGTTATATCGTTTTTATGAAATGAATTGATGTAAGCGAATAGGTTCATTGACTTGTATCTACAAGTACTTCAATATTTTAAAGGAGATTAACAATGATTTAGTGTTACATAAAAAAAAAGTTTATTCTATGATGTATAACTTCTAAGCAACGTGTTATAATTATTTTTGTAGTAAAAGAATAGTTCAATTTATGTAAATCTAAAGTAGTTACAATAAAAATGAAAAGTTTTATTTAGATATTTGGTATTTTCAACTTAAACGGCACTTTAATGCAACACACGAGTCAGAGACCTCAAAGCTCACAGCTGAAAGTTCAGAGCATGTTCAGTGGCATATCACGAAATCGTGCCTTCGACCTGCCGATACGCAGCCCAGAATATTGTTCACCACGTCAAACCTGGGCCATTTCATTTAAGTGTTTTATATTTTGATATAAAATATATTTAAAATTTTTTTCGTCTAAAAAAGAAAAATGTTGTTATTTTATGTAAAAGAACTTATTAACAAGAGAACAGTAAAAACAAAATAGTATATAACATTATATTTACAGTTGAAACAAAGTAGTATATAACATTATATTTAAACCTGAAAAAACAAGATTTTTTTTGGAAAAGCTTCAAACAGAATACCTGTTTCGTTTAATCTGTTTTTGCTTCATCCAACCTTCTGACAAACATATATGTGTGTATTATATTTATCCTTCTAGTTACCAACATGTTCTCTTGGGTTTAACATATGGCATCATATTGAGAATGACTAGGTTTTTGCCTGTTAGAATACTCAGTTGTGGGTGAAATTGCCCATTTCTTCATATAAAATAGATAGGAGGCCCCCAGCAGTAATTAGTGAGATTGAATGCAGTGTTTCTCATGTGGTATTTTTTGTTTATGTTCTGTGTGTTAATTCATGTGTTATTAAATAATCTGTAATCATTAAATTCATGAACCCACAAGCATAATGTTATTCCTCTGAAGTAGAATTCCTCAGCGCTAAGTTTTGGATTTTGAAAGTAAAATGTATCTATTAGATATTCTACAGATTGGACTTCTAAAACAATAAAACCTCGTGCTAACGAGAAATGACCACCAGGCTTCTTTTAAACTATTTAAAATTGTCAGTGAAACTGTTATGACCTCGTTTCAGTAAATATTTATGACGAAGACTTGTTGTATATTGATTCATTTCTTCCTGTTATTCACGCAAATCTACACACGCCGACCTTAATCTTGAATTGAAAGACTAGAGGGAAGGCAATAGCAACCACCGCCCGCCAATTGTTGGACTGCTTTAATCAAATAGTGGGATTTGATCGTCATTCTTATAACGCCCCCACATCCCCATATTGAGGAGCACGATTTTGCTCTAACGGGACGAGAACCACGAGCCTTCCGAATCACAATCCGACAGGATAACTACTAGGCCACGCCCGATACAGAAAGCTAATGGAAAACAATGTATTATTGAATTATTTGGGTTTGTTAATAATTCGTTAAATTCAAGTTGCACAAAACGCCGGATTAACATATCCGGACCAGTTGTTAAACGAAGAACTAAACACGAGTCTTACCTTTTGTTAGGTTCGTCCAGAACTAAACGATACATAGCTGTCAGAATCACATAACTGACAGAAAAAAATAAAAGTTCTCTGTAAACCATTTTCCAGATGCTGCCTCTCCATCGAAACAAGAGTTTTATTAATCCTCCTGATGTGGAAGAAGCAACGTCGTACTGATAACTCACCGTCATTTTACCCTAAGACCAAACAGTTCATGTAGCAACTGAAAATATTGTGTAGGTTTCTAGTGGAAAATGTCACCCAGATCGGTCTCGTCTATCAAAACACACTCCCAATTAGGGTTAATTGTTACCAGACGTTCTAACATTAATACTATAGTATCTGTCGCGCCTGTTTATGCTTCACGAGCTGAATAAAATTAAACACCAAAGTGGCTAACCAATTCATCAAAATAATTTTGCATGACGTTCTTGTGCATTATCTCTTGAAACGCAAGTTGAAGCAGGCACAGACAAAGCTTAAGTCGAAAGCACAAAACTTGTTACCAGACGACAGATGCGAGAGTCTGAAATGACAAACGCAATAGCTTTATTCTCAAACCCAAACGCTGTCAGACACAAAGAATGCTAAACTCTATTTGGCAACCAATGTCAATGTGAAAAGTGTAAGAAGATCAGGAATGTACGTGGTCTCGAATTTGGGACCAAATTAGCACATTAATAAAAATAAACACGATTAAAGTTATCAGTTATAGCTAACTGCACTATTTTTAAGGTTTGATTATTAAATGAACAATAGCATTTGTTTCCAGTTGTACTGTAAACTAATTTAAAGTCAGCTCTGACAGTGAGTATTTCTGTGTTTGTTTGTTTTTTGGATTTCGCGCAAAGCTACACGAGGGCTATCTGCGCTAGCCGTCCCTAATTTAGCAGTGTAAGACTAGAGGGAAGGCAGCTAGTCATCACCACCCACCGCCAATCCTTGGGCTACTCTTTTACCAACGAATAGTGGGATTGACTGTCACATTATAACGCCCCCACGGCTGAAAGGGCGAGT